CACACTGGTATGTATACGGAATATAACTATATATATATCCCCTTGCCTATAACTAGTTATATTCTAGATTCATCTTGCTTTGGTTATCGGAAGCTAACTACTGGTAGTATAACAAATGGATGTTTTCGCCGGGAAATCTCAACTTCAAGTTCCCCCTGTTCACTACCAGCCTACACATGCTCGTCCAGTTCATACTCGCCTCCATACTGCTCTACTTCTTCCCGTCTCTGCGGCCGCCGTTGAACAGCCCCGAAGCAGCTCCGGGGAAACCAAACAAACCCTCTCTTACCCCGATATTCTACCTTACCCGTCTCGTGCCATGCGGGAGCGCTACCTCCCTCGATATCGGGCTGGGCAACATGTCCCTACGCTTCATCACCCTCAGCTTCCTTACCATGTGCAAGTCCTCTGCTCTAGGCTTTGTGCTTCTCTTCGCCATTCTCTTTGGCCTCGAGACTCCCTCCCTTAAGCTCATCCTGATCATATGTACCATGACCCTGGGCGTGGTCATGATGGTGGCCGGCGAAGCCTCCTTTCATGCCGTTGGATTCGCCCTGATAATAGCTTCGTCTTTCTTCTCCGGGTTCCGCTGGGCTCTCACTCAGATCCTCCTGCTTCGGCACCCATCCACCTCAAACCCCTTCTCAACCCTTTTCCTGCTTACTCCTATCATGTTTGTCTCTCTGCTTGCAATTGCACTCGGTGTTGAGGGATACAATGAGATCCTAGCCGGCATCCATAACCTTTCTGCTGAGCATGGATCCCTGAAGGTGTTAGGCTTCCTCTCCTTCCCCGGAATGCTAGCCTTTTGCATGATATCCTCTGAGTTTGCTCTCCTGAGGCGTTCTTCCGTCGTTACTCTGAGTATCTGCGGTATCTTTAAGGAGGTCATCACCATTGCAGCAGCGGGCATCTTTTTCCAGGAAGTGCTCAGCCTGGTCAATATCGTCGGTTTGATCGTCGCTATTTCAAGCATTGCTTACTACAATTACATGAAAGTTACCAAGATGCGCAAGGAGGCCCTTTCGGAGCGAGAAGGGATCGATGACGACGAGGATGACGGGTACGAGAGTCCCGGCCCAAGTTCTGGCCTTATGGATGGCAGCCGCAGCCACGGGAACACCACACCTGTACAAAACGGTGCTATGGGAGGACTTGTAGACCAGATAAGGTCAGCTTTCGGAAACCAACCCAACCTGTCTGGTCCACGATACCAGCCTATGCATGCATCTACCGAGCCGTAACAGGCTAGCTTCGAATTAAAATTGAATGTTGCACACCGCGTACAGTGCTACAATACGATCCTCCAGTGTTGGACAACCTCTCACACACTACCCTTCATTTTGGACCCATATCCCCGGACCCGGGCCGGCCCCAGCTTTGTGGATTGGAGGTAGAAGAATAATACTCCTTCCCTTTATAATATTGTTTGTCTTAATACAGAGGTATCGTTACCTGGTCGTTTGTGAGACCAGGCAAACAGACAGAAGAACAGCGTTTCCATATATATACCGACTATATCCCTTTTGTATCTCGACTTCTGTGCACATGTATAGTGCTCTACAGGCGACGCGCGTTTGTCTAGCTGCCTTGATACCGTTTGGCTATGAACTTAACCCTCTTTGGCATTTTAAATCTCGGTTTTTCCCTCTGGCTATTTCTTCATCACTCGATAGGCGAGTTGGTTTTGTATTCTTGCAGAATGATAAACATGGTACACCATAAAGTGGTTACGCTTTTGAAGTAAAAAGAAAACTAGTTAAACTTTTATAAGTTAACATTACCTATCCACTAGATAAAGGAGGTTTATAACTTTGAACTACCTTGCAAACATCTTGACATAACTCAGGTACTATATGTTGCCGAAAGTTGATTGATGATCGTATCAATCGCCAGAGAAGTTGATACACACCCCTGCCTAGCTTAGATCCCGTAGCAGCTTTAACTACTCCGTACCAACTACTGAACTCCGAACTCCGAATGCCGATGGTTAACTGGCTGGTTAAATGGTTGACTGATTTACTGGCTGCGGAGTTGGAGAGTTGGCCAGTAGTTATCAAATTCATTCTCTGTTATGACTATATTTACAGTCAGTAAATCGACTAGCTGCTCTGATAGTTGCTACTTCTTTGGGTACTGAATGAGCCGTACATTTGTAACTAGCAATGTACAATAAGCCCCTTGCTCAGACAGTCTCCCAGGGGCTTGGATGGACATACTTCCTGCTCTGGACATGTTCATTCTACCCGCAGTTAATTCACAACTACCGCCGGCGATCAACTGACGGTTTCTCTCTTAACTTTACGCTCCTCAACTTGTTCGGCCTCGCAGCATATACAATCTTCAATGGCAGCTTGCTATTCTCTCCTGTGATCCGCTGCCAATATGCTGAGAGACACCCACAAAGTCCCGAGCCAACGGTCCAAATAAATGATTTTACATACGCAATACATGGGACAATCATCTGCCTCCTCATCTATAGTCAATTACAATGGCCTTCTCTCTGGAATTTCCACACGATACATCCTTCTCTGAAAGTACACCCGTTTACAATCTGGATACTATGGTGTTCTACAGGAGCTATTGCTCTAGATATCATCGGAGTCTCCTTCTACTCAACATGGACACAGCGTGAATGGCTTGATATAGTAAGTGGCTATATACATAACTAAACCCCTATAAACATACTTGGATGAAGGCCTCTATCTAAATATATGAACCAGGTTAATACAATTGGAAATATAAAAGTGTTCCTCACGGCAATCAAGTATACTCCACAGGCCGTGATGAATTGGCGCTACCAGTCGACCGAGGGTTTCAGTATACTCGCTGTCCTGCTGGACCTCACCGGCGCCCTTCTATCACTAATACAGTTGGTGTTGGACTCCTCCCTCCAGGGGGATTGGTCTGGGATAATAAACAATATATCCAAGCTGCTACTAGGAAATATTACCCTGCTTTTTGATGTTGTATTTCTAGTTCAGCATTATTGTTTATACCGGAAGCGGAATCTGCAAGCAATAAAGCCCGGGCTGCGTGCAAGTGAAGAAGATCCGCTGATACCGTCAAATTCGGCTGAAGGAAACATAGATGATAACACATGTCGATCCCCTTGGAGAAGTCACTCTTCGACTCTATCTCGGAGTATATTCAGCTGTTGACTGCCTGCATGGAATGAGGCAATTGTATCTTATACTTATAAGCCAATGTAAGTATATATTTGTGTCCTGATTAGTTATTTACGACTCAACTGCGTGATGAAAAGAGTGAATCTCCTCATACCATTGTCCTCCCACCATTACTGATACCTAGTGGTTTCTGAATGCAAAGCGAAATAAACAAGTAGTTATAAATATCATCCCAGCCACAACTAACCATAGTATAACGAGAAGAGGGTCCTTTGCAAGTGGCGTCAGTGCCATACCGAGGAAATACCTAGCGCGGCCGTTCCGATATAGCATGCCTGCAAAATGGATTTCATGCTATTAGGGGAATGAGAATAGACATACTCAGAGCCCGTTGGCCAGCAGAATACCTCGGCAAGGGCGACGATAATGTAGGTTGGTAGCTGAAATAGAACGTGGACACGGTTAGGAATCTTCCCACCACTAGATGCAGGACATGCTAGAGGATACATATAGCAAGGCCCGGCCCTATATATAATTGCTTGAACAACAGCTGCATAAGCCATAGCCACAGATATAATAGCAAACCCTAGGGTGATTCGATTGATCGGGCCAAATCGGATCTTGTATCGTTGTAGCAAAGGGTAAAGCAGCTTTTGAACTATTACACCGAAAGTCACATATGCAATAGGATTGGATGATTTGATAAGATCATTGGGGACACCGTGTGTTTCCATCTGGCCTGCTTGGGATACAGAAATTTGGGCATCCTCGCCCATACAAACCCAAAATATGGGCCATCCAACGCTAGATTATAATTGTTAGCCCAGGACGAGAGCATGGCATCCAAAGGACAGCATACCAGATTTTGAAGGCCGATAGGGCATCGCGCAATTCACTGGCAAAGTCCTTGCTCCATGGAACGGCTCGATCATAAGCTCGGAGTTGATGTTCGGGTAGGGCAACATCGAAGTTGAATCGTAAATATTTGCAAAGACAAAAATCTCCCTAACTAGCCATCGACAATGAAAGAAGCCGGTAGAGGCAATAGGTTAACAAGAACTGCAAATGCTAGGTTCACAGTTGTTGCATGAGATTTCCCTAGGCCCATTGCGCCGGGAATAATATCCGTCGGACTATTTTGGATATAATTCTCTTATAGTACCTTCAGTATAAATAGCTAGGAAATACTTATAAGCTATGTATAAGACAAGTGCTCACGAAAAAGGGACTGTGTGCCATAATAGGCAAAACGTTCCGTCATAGCAACAAGTGCCGCCAGCCAAACGCGTAGAGGTAAAGGCGCGGGGACATGCTGAAGCTCCTGGATATCATATTCAGATGGCAGTTCATGGGCTAAGCTTGGCTGGTTCTCAACAGCTATCTCTTGAGATTTCATATTTGCAGATTAATATGAGATCTTCAGGATATTCGTGGATATGATGGCACATTGAAGGGGTCGATCCCAGCCATTGTAGCATATGATTTCGCTTTGAACGTTTGGTTCATAGTGGTTTCAATAGGATCGTTGAAGAACCGGCGTTCGGAGTTGGGATTCTGGAATTCGGAATGAGACATTATTTGAAGCACCGGTATAAAAAATTATCCACATAATCGTTAACCATGGCAAACCGGCGTGTTGGTAAAGAAACACTGACTGCAATTTCTTTTTGTAGGATGGTGATATTTATTCTTTGGAGGTGATTGACAACCTCCCTTGTACCGGAATTTCAAAGAAACTCAGTTAGCATTTCCATCTGGATTGCTACCTTCTGAATAGTCTTCATTGCGACAGCATTTGCATGAATCAATTATATTCCATGTCGGGATTCCCACGCCGAGGCACGCGTGCGGAATTCTAGCCATGAATACTGAAAGGGGACGAGCGAATGGATTTGCGGTTGAGATCCGCTGGCCTATCACGGGAGCGAAGTATCTTCCTTATTGAGATTAATACTGGGCCACCTCAATATTTAAACTCCTTCACCAGTACTTTTGCTCTTGGAGTGTACCTCAACACCCTTTATCTCTTGACGATAGTAAAAGGTATTATCCGAATCCATGCTCTTTCAAACCCCTATCCCGCAGATAGCTATGTTGTGGTTGCAGCTATTAGGCCGGAACAACCAGGTATGTTTATATGTCAGAATGTATGGCAAGACCTGAAACGGAAGAATCCAGAGCTCCTACCTTCCATCGTACAGAATATTATGAAGGTCGGAAAAGTAGATAAGGTGAATCGTCCGGAGTCGAATACATCGTCATGGCTCACAGCCTTCACGGTGTATTCTTGCAAACGCAGCACTCATGCATTTAAAGTATTTTGCACAAGTAAAAGCAGAATTTTACTGCGCAATCGAGTAGAGTAGTTGTCTTAAGGCACTTAGAAATCGGTGCTAAAGTTGGAATAACATTTGATCAAAAATGTTAGGTATATTTGCATAATCGAGTAGACCAATCCCATCTATGTTTTCCAACATAGATGCGTCAAGACCAGTGTTAATTTCCGGATTCGTGTCCTGCTGCACAGGGTCCGGCTCTAAGACTTCGGAAATTATGTGTGAAAAGACCTCAGTTGCACGGCTGAAAAATGAGGAGCCGGCAGTACCAGGTCGCGCCATTGATTCCAGGTGGGAGATGAAGACACTGAGATTGCGAATAAGGGTAGCTCGAGAGCCGGGATATGGAATTGGTTGTTTTGTCCTGACTTCTTTCTGAAGTTCTCGGATTAGCACGCTGGCACTTGCAAAGCCAAAGAGCAGCAACTGTGAGCCACATAAAGTAGTTAGTGATTTATTAATAAATGGCCAATTCCACAGCAGCGGAAATGATAATTGTGTATTTGGTGCTTACCGTCCAAATGAAATCTCGTTGCATGTCAAACGAGCGCACGTTTTGTCTGCCAAATGTTAACACAGTAGTGAGTATGGAACCGCTGATGCTCAGTAGATCATTCCGGGCATCCGCGTAGTCTTTAACTATTATCCTCTCAACAAGAAAGCCATTATAACGGTACGTTAAATATGACACAATTAGCATCATTTTCACACTTCCTGGTAGATCAGTATCCCAACAAGAATCTATATAACGCAGATGTTCTGGCAGTGAGTTCCAGGCCTGGTTACACCGATGGGAAACATCCCTACATGTAATGTTAATATCATTTCCATACATAAGGAAAATTAGACTTGTGAGTTTTGTTTACCTTAACTTAGTCAAGCGCTCAGGTCCGGGCTTTTGTAGCGACAACTCCAGAATTTCCTCTCTATAAGAGCTAATGATATACCTAAGTCTTATCCAAGCTGCTCGTTGGAAAAGTGGCTGAGAGCTCCAGCCTTCGCCAGTTAGTGAACTGCGTGTAACTTCGATCACGTTGCGACTATATACTAGGGTATCGTCGCTGATATCGAGTGGAAGAGGGCAGTCCGAATGTCTCCGTGAGATTAGAGGTGGTCGACCTAAAAATGTAGCAAAGCTCTTGTCGTAGTGATATGAAGCAGCAAACAGCCTACGTCGGGTTTCAAGGAGAAATTCCGGGAGTGAGCTCGAGCCATTGTCTCTATGCAGTCCCAGCTCGAATATAGTTGTAGCTAGGCCACCCAGGCGATGCCAGGTTTCCGAACCTATTGATATTTTTAGTATCCATGTAAACTATAAGGGGAAAGCAAGTTCAAACAAACTGGAATAACCAAATATGACGCTAGAAAGAAGTAAATTTTCCTGAATAAGCCACATGGTGAGATCATTCGTAGGCGTCAACATCTTGCAAAGTTGAATTATAGTATCGCTTGCAGTAAGCATCTTGCGAGGAAACTCGGCATCACACCCAGAAATCGTACTACTTGATGGATAAGATAATCCATAGTAACTTGCTCGACCTGCTAGGGTATAAATGAGTCCAATTATTTCTAGCCGAATAGAGGAGCCTGTAAACAGCTTCGAGAAATGTGCCCCATCCACTGCAGGTGGAATCGTGAATGTCTTCTGTGTATTTTTCATGGCCAAGACGGCTAACGCAGAAGTCTGCTCATTTGAGATGTTTTCATATAGCTTTTCATTGTATGTAGTCTCCAGTTCAGCGAGGGTATCAACTATCAGAGGTGCCGGGATTGCAGCAGATTGGTTCAAGCTATAGTAATTCTGGACCAGCTGCTTCATAACAGGGAACTCATGGAGCAAACCTAGAGCTTTGGTTACCCTTTGCGTCCACCACGGCTGTATGGTGGCGGTATCTGCTCTACCATGCGGTTGCTCATCAGTACTATGTGTAAGCCCATGGCTCTCTTCCAATTCGGATATAAAGCTAGTTGGCCCTAGATAGCCCGCAGATTGCAACATCCCGTCCGACCTTAGACCTGGGGTCATTGTTGCAGTATCCAAAGAAGAGCTTGGGACCATAGTCGCAGATAAATAGCTGGCATCGTTGTTCAAACTACGCGCTGGAGACGTGGTTTGGCTAATAAGCCGCCGGTCAGTTCTCTATTCCACGATATAACCAGCCGGCCAGGGGCTTCTTGATCTCACTCCTCGGTGGTAGACCTCCTCGGCCTCCTCTGATTGCTCTGTCTCGTCAAGGGCGCTGGATGGTAGAAGCACTGGCTTTCGCTCCCGCGTTGCCGACACCGCGCACATACAGGCTGTGCATGGTCGCATCGTACCTTGTGCTTGCGACAAGGCTCGCAGGACGCAGGTTTGCCATTCCGACGACGTGAGCTCCTGGAAAAATAGCCATTAGTCAGGCTGCGAGAGTTTTTTTTTTTTAGCTGAGATTAACTACACACATCGGTTGTCAGGAGAGCGAAGTAGTCAATAATTGTAGTATTGATATTCAGTTTGCTGATCGCCAGACGGAAGAAGCAAAGAAATACGCGCGCTCCCTTTCACCCATGAGTCGACCAGCCTCTGGTTAACCACTAGTTATGCATGCGGAGTAATATATAATCCGTAATATGATCGACTTCATCCGTAGTCTATGGCTGGTTGGTGATGTAGTTAATTGGAGGTATAGTTATTTTACCGAGTGACCCGGCCAAATATGTTGATAGGATGGCTCGCAGATCAAAAATATCAAATCGTGCTTCTTAAGCGTAGTTAATTGTATTTCTATAGTTAGTTAACTAAATAGTTATCAGTTTACACCAGAAACGCTCGCTAACTAGTTCTCAATTCTATTTTATTCATAAAAAATGGCCAGGTCAGTTCTTCAGCTGCTTGCTAGCAGACACACACCAACTATTCCAGTCCGAGAAGAAAGACGGCTGAACATGACACTTGTTGCTCAACAGCTGCTGCTTTCTCGTATCAGCATAGACATCAACAATTCCCGAGATGGACTCCTTATCATGAGCCACAAGCACCTTGACAAGAAGCAGGCTTGCCTGGCTGCACGACGCACCATGCGGTCCAGACGCACTGCGCATAGCTTCATAATGAACCTGTCCAAGCATCTTCCAGATGGGCTCGGCGGATTCAACTTCAGGAACGGCGGAACCCTTGCAGAGCCGAGTGTACTCTCGCAGAACATTCGCTGCTTTCTGCACAAGCTGCTGCACGCTTGATTTCCGTAATAGCCGTAGGAGTGGAATGATAATTTCGAGTGCGAGCGGGTTAGAGTGGCATTTCTTGACGTATATGTCGAGTAGATCGAGCACTCTGTTCTTGAAATTGATCATCGTCTCTTTGGCGTCCTTTTTATCTTTTTTCTTGTTTGATGCCTGTTCGCGGGCCTGGAAGACCTTGACCAGTTGTGCGTCTAGGGCCTCCATATCGTCGTCTCCCATGTCGGAACCGTCGTCAGATCCATCAGATGCTTCGAGGTCTTTGTCTGCACGATGGGTGCCTAGTGCAGCTGCGAGTTTGGCATCAAATTCAGCTAGGTTTTTCTCGTTTTCGCCATCTTCCTCTTCCTCTTCCTCCTCGTCTTCATCGTCGGATTCGGATTCCGATGCAGCGTCGACGACCTCAACATCAGAGCCGTCAATCATCTCAACATCACTATCAATTTCTTCGTCATCGTCGTCTTCACCTTCATCCTCATCATCATCCTTATCAAATAACTCCTGTTGGCCTGCTAGACTTTCCTTTGCATCGATGACCTATACCAATCATTAGCCAACGTAGAAAGTACATGTATAAAAGGAAGCTTACGGCAAGTAGAGACTCGAGCCCTGCATGGGTTAATTTATCTGCAAAGGCTCCAAATACCTGCTCACTCATCTTTCGGAATAAGTGAGAAGGCTTTGAGGCGAAGCTGAGCAGTATTTCGACAAGTGCATCAGAAGCTTGGGCACTTTCTTCATCGTTCGCCTTCTTGTAGCTCAGGAACTTGTCATAACACATCTTGAGCTCATCCAGCATGGATACTGCGTCCGCATCTCCATTGTATACTTGAAGAATTGTCAAGGAGTAAAGCAGTTTAAGCCCCTGAGCAGTTTGGTCCTGCTCCCCATCATCTTGCTTACTCTGTAATAAATAAGCTGCATATTCAAACATGGTGAGGAAGTAGGAAGCTTAGATGGACATACCTTCTTGTTAATCTTCTTGAGCGTCTTGAAGGCAGAATGGACAGACTCCGTGATACTTTCACTCATATCAATTATGGACTTCCCTGACTCCCCGTTCTCCTCCATGTCCCGGATCTTCTGAACAATCTTGTATACAATATCAGCTGATCGTTTCTGGCTGCTGATGACAATATTTAGAGAAGCCATGATTTTGTTTCTGAACAGTTCCCTAGTAGTACCACTGATAGTAGGCTTAGCAGCTTCGCCCGAAAAGTAAGTGTACTTAGCAAGCGTCAGGATGATCACCTCAACGGCTGCATCTAGTTCGTCGGAATCATTCTCCTTAGCCGAAGTCATGACAGATTTGACAATGGTTTGCAGGAAGTTGGCAATAAGTTGGCGCCTTGATGCAGCCGCCTTATCATCAGCTTCCGGATTGACAATCAGCCCTTCAAAGAATGGCACAAGCTTCTTAATTGCAGTGTGAGATACATCAGTAACGATCTTCTCGACAACCTTGACTTTGGCAATTTGGTCAAAGTTGACCGCGCCCCGCGGTCCCATAAGGCCGCATAAGGCAGGATAAGCAAAGTCTGGCTCCTTTGAAGCACGAGTCTGTATCGACTTGGCGGCCTTGACGGCGATTTTATGCAAGTACCTGTCTTCGACGGCAAGTTGATTCATCATACAGCGCATGAAGTTCTGCGTGAAGATCTGACTAGCTACCTCGACTGAGCCTTCTTTGAGGACTTTCATAAATACGAGGAAACCCCAGTACTTGCGTTCTTCCGACGAAGCGGCGGCAAATAATCCACCTAGATACAGGTTAGTATAATTAGAACTCCAGGAAGAGAGAGAGAGAGATAACTCACAGTCAACGACTTCGGTCCAGAAATCGATAAATGACAACTGTGCTGACTTTTCTTTCTTCCCCTTACTCTCGTTCTGGGCCTTTTCGACAGGCGTAGAATATAGCTTGGTGAGAATTGGGTCCCATGCAAAAGGGAGTTTTGGATTCCAAACTCCGGAGCTCTTAACTTTTGCCTCTTCGCCATTGGAAGCATCTTGACCGGAAGACTCTTTCATAATCTTAGCCAAAGATGCCTTCTCGCGCGAGTTCAAAGGGTGATCGTGGCTCCAAACGCCAGAAGGAAAGGCAACTGCCGGAGAGCAAGATAGATCCATGGCAGCCAGCCAGATGGCAATGCCTTCAGGAGTTTTGGCCAGATTATTCTCGCATAAGGCAGCAAGAGCAGAGTCAATATATTTGGTATCTCTGTTTCGTGCACCAATATCACGAATGGCGATGAAGATGATATATCCACACTCTTCCCTCAGCCATGGCTTCTTGTTGGCCAATTCAAACACTAGAGAGAGCAGTCTAGTCCAATGCTCAAACGGGACGCCGGGCTGGAACAGACTATAGCTTTTCAAGATAGCTTCTGCGCCGAACAGCCTGCCAAAATGGCGGTCTCTTTCTTCCTATCCACGGTATTAGCACATCCAGTTAAAAAAAGCTAGTAGAGGCTTTCATACCTGTCCAGACTCAGCATTGGTAGTGTTCGTATTCGACTCCAGAAGATCAATTGCTTTGGATACATCCCACCCTGCAAGTCCATTCTTCCGTTCACCCCCAGTCGGACCAAAGAGCATGCAGAGCAACTCCGTCAGAGCAATTGAAAACCCAAGCCTGGCGGCCTTGCGACTACTACAGAGTCCCCTGAATAGTCGCAACAGAGCCTTCTCAACATCTTCCGGCGCTGGGTTTGCCTCTGGCGTAAACCGCGAGAGCAGCTCACTGGCAGCTTTGAGTCTGATTTCATCGTTCTCATTGCCCAGATCATCATATATTTCTACAAGCTTGATGTCCACATTGACTTTTTCGCGACGGCGTTTCTTGGGATTGAAGGACGACATCGCGTGTCTATATCAAACTTGCCCTTTGGTATCTCCCGAACGGCCTTTTCAGGCGTCTTTATGTGTTTTATCAAGCTGGAAGTTGAATTTGATATCTTCAAAGTCGATTTTTTGCACGAAATCTTCGTTGCTTAATGCGGTTAGCACCAGTGAGGTTATTTTAGGCTTAGCGCCTTTTTCATATAAATAAACAAAATATTCGTACGACCGTACTATTTGGAAGATTGTGCATGATTATAGTTGCTTTCAAGAAAAGAGATGTTTGTTAGCCGTATATGGAACTAGAAGAATTAACATGCTGGATATTTGGAGACATTTTTGGTATATTTATAAAGGATGTTGCTGATATACTGTTGGGCAGGAGTCCTCCAGCCAAAGGGCAACAGCATTCAATGCAAAGTATGTAATTCTGTAAACATTTAAGATGACACCCATTGACAATAGAATTAACCCGGTTGCAATGACTGTAAATCACCCTTCCCGAGAAGCAAAGATGCTCGTCTTCTACCACGTTATAACTTCTATGAATTAACTTCGGGGTTAACTCCGGCAGAGCTCCCGAGATCGACTGTATAAAATCACCAAACCGACACATACAGACAGCAACATACCAAACTACAATAGACTAAAATGCCTGGACCAACATACCGGATTGCCTCGATACCCGGGGATGGGATAGGCCCTGAAGTGATCAGTGCTGGGATAACAGTGCTGAAGAAGCTGGCCTCGTCCCTGAACAAGTTTGAGCTGGACTTTGAGACCTTCGACTGGAGCAGCGAGTACTACAAGAAACATGGCAAATATCTACCGGATGATGCCTTGACTACGCTGAAGAAGTTTGATGCCATACTCTTCGGGGCCGTGGGGGCACCTGGTAAGTGGCTAAGTTACCATGCCCATGTCTACTTTACTACTATCATGGTACCGGGTAATCCGGTAAATGTGGAATATGAAGGTGATACTAAGTCAAGGTGATAGATGTCCCTGACCATATATCACTCTGGGGCCTGAGACTCGCCATCTGCCAACCCCTACAGCAGTATGCCAATGTACGGCCAACCAAGATCTTCCGCGGCACCCAGTCCCCGCTCCGAGCTCGCTCGCCCGGCGACCTGGACTGGGTGATCATTCGCGAGAACTCCGAGGGCGAGTATGCAGGTCAAGGAGGCCGCAGCCACGCCGGCCGGGCCTGGGAGATAGCCACAGAGGTATCGGTCTTTACTCGGCACGGGGTGGAGCGGATTATGAGATTTGCGTTTGAGACGGCGCGGAGTCGAGACAGAAAGCTGCTCACGGTGGTGACGAAGAGCAATGCACAGCGGAATGGGATGGTTCTCTGGGACGAGGTGGCGACCATAGTAGCTGAGGACTTCCCGGATGTGACGTGGGATAAGATGCTGGTGGATGCCATGACCGCGCGGATGGTGTTGAAGCCACAGAGCCTGGATACCATTGTGGCTACGAACCTGGTACGTCAAGCCCTGTAGACACCACCTCTGGGTACACTGAATGCGTCATACATGCCAGAGGCAGCTGACAGTGACATGCTCCTTCTCTCGTGCTGCCCGTAGCATGCCGATATTCTATCAGATCTGGCGGCGGCCCTTGCAGGCTCCATTGGAATAGCACCCACGAGCAACCTCGATCCGACACGCGAGAACCCGTCAATGTTCGAGCCCATCCACGGCTCTGCATTCGACATAACCGGGAAAGGCATTGGTGAGTTTTGTGGTTCGTCCAAGTTCAAGTTTGCCTTCTGCCCTGTTTGATATCAATCATCCCAACTTGACATTTTTTTCTCTCGACCTGCTAACAGAACAAGCCAACCCGGTAGCAACCTTGTGGACGGCATCAGAGATGCTGCACTGGCTCGGGGAGAAAGAGGCGGCCGCTCTCCTGCTGGAATGTGTCGAGGCCGTGTGTGAGAAGGGGGTGGCCACGCCAGACCTGGGAGGCCAGCAGACGACTGCCGAGGTGACAGGTGCCGTGTGCGAGGAGATTGAGGGCCGGTTGGGGAGGTAACTGTTTAGCAAACTGCTAGGTTGAGGATAAATTGGACGGTTGTATTTGAGTAATTGAGTAATTGAGTATTATCGATGGGCCTAGTAACGAATGTCCAAAGAGTGAGGCGGCCATCTTTGTCTGCTTGCCCCTTATATATATATCCCCCTTTCCTTTGTATCAACGCTTGTAAAATAAGGGTCCAGGTGGAACTGGTAAGGGTCTTATTTCACGTAATATCATGGCCATCAATGGGCTGGAGAGCTTCAAATAATCATAATGAAAAACTCTGCACCCGGCAGGACTGAGTATTGAAACACGCAGGAGGATGCACAACGGCGAGACAGGTCAGAGGAAATTTCCGATCCATGGCGTCCGAGAGAAAGGAAAAAAAGAAAAATCTCATCTCCGTCTCCGTCTCTTTTTTTCTTCTCGCACTCTGTCCACCGAACATCGCAATATCAACTGTTTGCTAGTCTGTATAATCTGCGGTGTTAAGGAGTTACACCGTTGCCCAGGCAGTTTCCCCTGCGTCTGCTAGAGCGTCGATGCGGAGGCCCGAAGCCCATGGCAACCGCGAAAGAAAACCGCCGCGTATCAAATAGTCTGTTACTTATTGTATTGATCATTTCCGTCTCCTTATCTTTTATCTCTGGTGTATCGTCTTTTTTGCATCTTTTCGTATCATTTTTTTGTATGTCTTTTTCGTTATTTTCGAGATGAGGATTTTTTGTAAGTACAAGTCACGTGCCTTCGTGTTATTCTCGTTTTTGTTTCTTTTTCTTTTTCGACGCGAAAGAAACAAACGAAGACGACAACGAGAAGAAGAAGAAGAAGAAGAAGAAGAAGAGAAGGAAGCAGAAGAAGGCGACGGAGGCAGGTGGAGGTGAAGGGGAACCATCGGTAGAGACGGCCGAGGGGAAGGACTCCGCAGAGAGACCGCGTGGTGATGCTATATCCAAGACAGACGGGCTGAGAGACGGCGACGTCGAGGCTGCAGATGAAACGGCCATGACATCAATTCGAAGCCGGAAGAGAAGGGGAACAGCTGCTGGCGGCCAGGGAACAAGGGCTGAGTATCGTCTTCCATGAGCTTCTGCCGCTCTTTAGTGTGTCTGACTGCTACGACGCTACGACGGATCCCCCAAGCTAACCCTTCTCCAGGCAGGTGGCAGGTATCAAGGTCAAGAGACATGTAGAGTAATCAGAAAAACCCACAGTATCGGAGGCTTTCAGAGCTTTCAGAGCTTTCAGAGCTTTCAGGGCCCGCAGGTCTTTCACAGACTGCTCCCCACCATAGCAAAACAGGGATGAAGGGCGCCTCTGCGACTAGCGAGCTTGACGGTCTCGCCGATCGGGGCCATCATCCGCCATTCGTCATTCTTTTGGGGATGGACGAACGGAGCTCTGTTTGCGCTGTATTCGATATTTTTCTTCTCTTTTTGTGAGGAAAAAGGAAAGCGAGATGTCATCGGCGGTTAGTCTGGCCATTGACGTCGTTCGTTTTGATGTTGGCATGCAGTCTACGGAGTACGATATGATGTGATACTATGATACTAAGGGCATATATATGGCTGGTATATGTATGATATGTCGGCAAAAGGGCGGAGTAATAATGTCTTCTTGAGACGCTTCCGGCTCAGGCAAGCAAAGCTGCTACAAGACTCGGCATTGGCAGGGAGGGATTGTTCTTGTGACCTCGAATCGATGACGATGATCACCAACCGCGGGGCTGAGAATAGAAACCTTAGAAGGGCCATAGTCAGGGATGCCCCTCGCTGGAGCGAGTCGAAGCAGCGTGTGATTATGCTGGGGAGTCGACAGGAACCGACTAAGATCCCTGCGGCTTAAGTGGCCACGCTAAGATATATGATGCCAATGCTCATGGGGCTAAGGGGAGGGGGGAGTTTGACGGAGGCTGACGAATAGTGAGCTCCATTCTGGCTGTTGAACTTTGGGGGCCATCTGCCATCTCTTGCTGCTACTCTTTTGGGGACTCTGCTGGTGCATGCATGCATGAGTTGATGCAGCAACCATGCAACGAGAGTGAGATGGGTGCATGGAACTAGACCGAGTCAGGCCATGGAACCAACAATTGGCCCAAATATAGCAAAAAGGCAACATCCAAAGAGGAGAATGCAGAGATAGAAAGCCGGGAGAAAAGAAAAGCAACGAAGGCGAGGAGGAGGAGGAGCTGCACGAAAGTTGTCCAGCTGGCTTCTCAACTCTATTTCGCGGCTGGCTGCCCTGGTGATACGAAGCGCTAATGGCTCCCTGTTCGTGAGGAGGCCCAATAAGACCAGATCTCGCACTGTCCCGATTGACTTTTTTCTTTTTTCCTTCCTTTTTGCTTCTTCGACTTTCGCTCATCCTTCCTTCGTTCTGGGGAATGGCTGCGAGCGTCTGGATGGCTGGCTGGCTGGCTAGGGAACCTGACGTCCGGGTCCAAGCATGGATGTATCTCGGTATCCAATTTGTTACTGCAGACGAGCAGGAGGAGCAGCAGAAGCAGAAAGCAGCAGCAGGAGAAAAGAAAAAGGGACAAGAGATCGGGGAAAATAAAGAGGAGAACACCGGAAATAGCGCGTGTGTCTCCAAAACATGCAAGAGAGGGTGGAGTTTTGGGCGGTCCAGGGCCAGCAGGGGAGAAGCCTGCTACCAGGACAACTGGTGTTACCCGGCGACGGGCGATGGCGACGGAGTCAGAGTTCATTCACACCTCTGCTTGCTCTTTACAGGGGAGGGAACTCTGATTTTGGCCTTTGGCTCTGGCTCTGGCTCTGTGCGCCGTGAGAGTACCGACTGCAATCGGCTGTTGAACCAGTGACACGGAACCCTTTTCGGTATCAGATATTAAGCAAAACGATAGTCAGAGATCGAGAGCGAGAAGATAAGGAGAGCGGATGACCTGCATGAATTGAATTCTTTGATGCGGCCATCCAGATCCATCCATCCATATCCTTGGTTTTGGCCGTGCCCTGTGCCTTGGACTGGTCGTTACATACAAGAGTATCCGTTGTCCGGTTACATGGTGGTATAACTACTGTCTCCGTACTCTTAGTGTGTTAGTTACCATGGTATCGATGGAGCACAGAATACCAGGTTACTCGGGCTACCAGACAGACATTCCTCCACCGGGACAGAGCGTGACCACGGAGGGCCTCCCCATCGCCCTCGCCCGGGGACAGCAGCGAGACAGAGAACGGAGAGCGAGCAGAAGGCCATGAGACAAGATCTCTGTGCCGCACGGTTTACTGTCAGCGACAACGGTCTGTACATCGTCGACAGCAGCTCCTCCGTACATGTACATCTGGAGA